ATTGCTTTTGTAACAGTCGTATATTGTTTTTTTTAATAATTTCATTAGATGAATATCTAATACTCTCTGTGTTTCAATATTCAAATGTATTCGAATCTTATTCACTGGTATCTCTTTTTCGCATTGTTCACCATCGCTATTGGAATCACTACACTGGAAAAAGTCTGCGTTGTTATCACACTCGTTATTACTATTAGTACTTGTACAAGGACGCCACATTTTAAACAGATAATAAAAATTTTTAAGTAATTATAACTGCACCGATATCGAATTTCAACACCCAGATTGCGATCAGTTCCTGAACTGAACACAACGGCGATAACCATCTCCGCATTACTCGATTTCTATTCGTCATCGTGACATGACTCTGAATGCATATTCATGTTGGGGTCTGGAACTTATCAGAACACCCTCGTAAATGTGACATATCCAAGCCGTAATGAGATACATGTGACTTGACTGATGTATGAAATACACACTTTCTGAATTTCTAGGTATAGAAGAAAATCTACCATATCGTCACTTCATGGTATGTAGACCAGAAGTATCAGTATTGGAGCTGCACCCAGAGGAAGGTCAAGTGCCTAAGTTGACTGAAGACTTATTCAGGAGTTTATTCAATGAAGTGGGGCAGCTGGAAGACGACCTAACTCTGAGGAAGAACGTGTTCTTTTCTGGAATGGATAGAGATATCAGAAAAGAAGTATGGCCATTCCTGCTTCATGTTTATCCNAAAATTGTAGAAAATAATATGATAAAAAAAACTAGTGAGCCGCCTCGGCTCCGCACGGGTGCAATGCTGATGCTAAATTTACATATAAACGCGTGCGATCGCTGCTAACCATAAAGTGCTATAGGGCGAAGCGCTATTTATATTTATAGGAACGCACCGCCGGCCCCTCGGCCGGTAGCGCTGCAACCGCTGCATTTTAAATCTGTAATAGCGTCGAAAATATTCGTTTGAATTACATATTGTAAACGGCCATATTGATCTATATTGAAGGCATAATGTATTTAAGGTACTCATATGGATGAGAATCAATGCTGTATTGCTTAAAATCGCTTTGTAAATAGGTCATTATTTTTTTAGGATAAAAAATGGCAATTGTGGTTGATCACTTAGAAATAGACATATACATACCATCGCGGACTTTTTTGTAAACAATATTGTAGTACATTTTTTGATCTATCTCGTAGGGTTTAGCCAGCGTTTGCAATGTAAGCGCAATAAATAATAGTTTAAAAAACTGAAAAAACGCTTTAATAGTAACACAAAATGAAAAACAATTCGAAACTTATTCAAGATTGTGTTCAACATCGATAATAAGTTCTTTGGCTTGAAGTGACTTATGACTTTTAACTAGTCTGAAATCAGAACGAATCTATTTATTGAAAAAACAATTGTTGTAAAAAAAGCGAGGGATGCTTCAAATTATAATTTTTTTATGGCTCCGAACTGACAAACAGCTCTTTACTAAGTGTTTATAACAATGGATATTTAGTACCCTACGCTTTTTCAAAACAAAATAATTTTTTTGTGAATAGATTTATTCTGATTTCAGACATATTGAAAGTCACGAGTTACATCAAGCCATAGGTTAGGTTAGGTTGAGTCCAAAGTGAGTGGGTCTGTTCGACCCTCTACCACAACCCGCAAGAGTTTACTGTGGCTTACACCTATTCACGCTCGACCAAATAAACTGAGCTTCTTATCGAAGCCGATTAGTTTGTATGGTGAGTGATCTTTCAGGTCAGATGGTGTGAGTTCGGCTCTGCCGAACTCTAATAACCTAATTCGGTCCCCAGCGGGGTAGGCACAAAGTATATGATCTACTGTTTCATCATTTTCCAAACAGAGGCGACACACACTGTTTTCCGGCAGTCCAAGTCTCTGAAAATGATGATTCAAATGACAGTAACCTACAAGAAGGCCTGTTAGACATCGTAGTTCAACCTTACTGTAGTCCAACAACTGTTTGGTATCAAGCTTCGAAGGGTGAATGAAAACCTTGGAGTGAGCCAATCCTGGAAGATTCTGCTAGGAGTCCATAAATCTTCCTGCCATCCAGGTGTTCAATCTTTGTTTGGCAAAGCCTAAAGCAATGCCAAAGACAGGTTATGGTCCATGAAGCTGCTTGCAGCACCCTCCTTTGTAAGGGAGTCAGCAGCCTCATTGCCTTACAGGCCAGTATGGCCAGGAATCCAGACCAGAGACAATTTGTTAAGTCTTCCTATCAAGGGGAGTGGTTTTTGGCAATTTGCTACCAATTTAGACGTTGCTCGGTAGGAGTTAAGAGCTTCCAATGCCGCTTGACTGTTCGAGAATATTTTATTGACTTGTGTATGAGGTTGGATTATTTCAATACCTCCTCACACAATTCTATAGCGTAAATTTTCGCTTGAAATATAGTTGGATAGGTTCCTAGGCAGGTTGATATCTCTGTCCTGGGTCTGCGACTGAAAATACCTGCACCGGAACCAGTTGGAGGCATAAAGTCAGAGGTCATTTCCAGGTGACTTCCAGTGTAAACCAACAATCTGCATTGCAATTGGCAGTGTACCCAAGTCTCTATGCAGTTCATCTAGCCTCTCTCTCCAGAAAAACGTGGAGAGAAAGTAGATCTAGAAGGATCTGTGGTACTGATGGCACCACTGATAGCCAGACAAGCCTGTCTCCTCCTGGTGAAGGGGATTATCACAGTTTTGCTGGGGTTGACAGACATAGGGCTCATTATCGATGTTGAACACAATCTTAAATTAGTTTCGAATCATTTTTTACGGTTGCTATTAGAGCATGTTTTCTAGTTTTTCAAACTATCATTTCTTTTCCACTTTTCAGTTTGGTTTGCTATTTCAAGCCCATATGTTTTAATATGAAATATATACGCATGCGCAGACGGTGTGGTTGTCTCAGTTACTCTCACACAGACACACTAAAATTTTGTTGTTGTTTGTTTCTCTACTATATTATTGAATCTCTTTATCTAATGAAAAACCCGCATCAAAATCCGTTGTGTAGGTTTGCAGATCTAAGAATACATAGGAACAGACAGTGGGAAGAGACTGTTTTATACTATGAAGTGATATAGTTATACCATAGTGAAAATCAACCAGTAAGTCCACTACCACAACTTTCATTCATAAATTCATCAAGTTCTCAGTGACCTCGAAACGAAGACAAACATTGCTATAATGAAGAATATTCTACTTAATTATGCCGTTTATAATCCAGGATTGGGGTAAATAGTTTACATATTTTTTGAGGGTGTCGGATTTAAAGAAAAATTTCACGTGACATACGAGGGTGGTTTAAAAAGTTTCCGACCTCAACTTGAAGATAGCGGCACTCGTAAATAAAAGCAAATGAAATTCGTTGTTTATTTTCAGACAGTTACTCACCAAAGTTTCAGCAATTTTGGACGCGCAGTTGTTCTGTAACAGTCGTCTGAATGAGTTGATGTGAGTGTTTTCATGAAAATCGACAAAATCGAGAATTGAGCTGTCATTGAATATTTGTTATTGAAAGGCAATACGCCTAAGTCATCCAAAGATGAGTTGGATTCGGTGTATGTGGACTCTGCATCATTAATTACCACAGTGAAATTTTGTGCAGCTGAATTTAAACGTGGCCGTGAGAGCTTGGGAGACAATGAACATTTCGGACGTCCAAAAACTGCAACTACCGAAGAAAACTTCGCCAAAGTTCACAAAATGGTGCTAGACGACAGCCGAATTGAAGTGAGAGATAGTAGAGGTTACGGGCATGTCATAAGAACGTGTTTCTCATATTTGAAATCAACATTCAGACATGAGAGAGCTGTCCGCGCGTTGTGTGCCGCGTTTGCTCATGTTGGACCAAAAACGTGTTAGGATGATCTGTTGGTGTAGTTTAGTAGCGATAAATCCGAGTTTTGACGCCGATTAATTATTGAAGATGAAACTTGGATACACCGTTATACGCCCGAAACAAAAATACAGTCGAAACAGTGGACTGCAAAGAAGGAACCGGCTCCAAAAAAGAAAAAAACTGTTTTTTTTCGGCTAGGAAAGTGATGGAGATTGTTTTTTCGGATAGTCATGGAGTTATATTAATCGATTATCTTCAAGAAGGAAAAACTATTACAGAAGTTGCGGAAAAACCGCCACATTTTCAGAAAAAAATTCTGTTTTACCAAGGCAGCGATTCATCTCACATCTCAGCCATGGCAAAAATCCTCGAGTTACGGTTTGAACTGCTGGACCATCCGCTTTAGGTTAGGTTAGGTTAGGTCCAAATTGAGTATGTCTATTCGACCTTCCAACGCAACCCGCAAGGGTTTATTGTGGCTCACACCTATTCACACTCGGCCAAATAAACCCAGCTTCTTAACGAAGCCGATTAGTTTGTATGGTGAGTGGTCTTTCAGGTCAGATGGTGAGAGTACGGCTCTGCCGAACTCTAAAAACCTAATTCGGTCCCCAGAGGGGCAGACACAAAAATATGGTCTGCTGTTTCATCGTTAATGAGGTAGTCGGATAGTCAAGGTGCAAGATTCCCACATTGATAACTGCGACAACCTTCCCATATGAGGGTTCTTGCCCGTCAGCTACACCTGACGATGCCTTAGATTCAACCGTGCAGGGTTTTTTCGCCTCTGGTTTTGGTGAATCATCACTTGAGCGCAAAAGTTTGCTAACCTGCTCATGGGGGGTTTGTTCCTCCACCTGAGACAGATTCTGCGTACGCTGCTCAAGAATTTGGTGCAAGGCGGTTTCATAAGGTACCCCACTCTTGGGGAGACGACTCAGTCGTTTCCTGGCTGTACCACCAAACCTTTTTTGTAGGTTCAGTTATTGGATCAGGAGTTGGAGAGTTGAGAAGCTCTCGCTCCTAAACTAAATTTACAGGGAGGCCAGTTGGAGTCGTAAACTCGACATCTTTCTCTTAAGACTCGCTCCTGAACTAAATTTACAGAGAGCTCAGTTGGAGTCGTGAACTCGATATCCATCTTCTTTGTAGACTCGCTCCTGATCTAAATTTACAGGGAGGCCAGTTGGAGTCGTAAGCTCGACATCCATCTCTTCTATAGACTCAGCGTCAGAAAGAATTTTTAAGTTTACTCTCTCCATAAAAATCCCACGATTAGCTAGGGAAAGAAGGTCAATCACGGCAGAGCTCCGCATCACCGTGACAAGCCGATGCTACGACGAGAGGGCGCCCGGTATCTCGAAGGTTTAAAAAAAAATCTGTTTAAAATCTGTTTTTCCGTTAACCAGCTGTCGCACCCCTACGAACGACAACCCTCAGAAGTCGAAACTTGTGCGAGCTAAGGATTAACGAGGTCTTACCTTTTAACGTGTGATTCCTAACACGGGTTGGACGGTAGCAAGTGAAGATCGATTCTTCAGACTAGGGCTTGAACCACCAACCAACACGGCAGTCAATTCGAGTGAGTGAACAAATCACACACGCCAAACCGCTTGGCTACCGACCGACCAGTGCCATTGTCAGTGTCATTCATCCTTTCGGCACGGATACACACACCTTAGGATTAAGCCATCGTTGGGATGCCATTCAGTTAGGGAATAACAGAACTACAAGTGATTCTGTCATTCCAGTATCCAGCGGAGTTACGTTGAAACAGGCATCCGATGGCCGGTTTGCTCAACCCCCACATTCCAAGCCAATGCACTCGCCAAAAACAGCATGCACAGTGGTTCAGGCAGTGAAAGATGAACAAGGACAGCCAACCCCACCATCCGCTTTACTCACCAGATTTAGCCCCAAGTGACTTTTTTTGTTTCCTCATCTAAAAATTGCGCTCGAAGAACGGATATTTTCGTTAAATGAAGATGCAATGACCTTCGTTATTATTTTTTTGCAGAGAAAAATGCCGAGTACTATTTTGGAAAATAAAAATATCATGTATCTTTGTTAAGTCGGGAACTTTTCAGATCACCCTCGTATGTTAGATTTTGTAGGACATTGCTGGTTTTGGATTATGATTATAGATCATATTAGGTATATGATAATAGAAGTTTAAAATTCTTGAATATCTCGTTGAAACATTCTGCGTTCTTAATGTATCAGGTTGTTTCAAAAGTTCTGTCCGTTTTTAGGAATCTTTTTCAGACTGTAATATCTCAGTGAATGCTTATTAAATTTAATCGAAATAAACGTCATTTGAATCAGTGCACGTTTGCCAACACAAGGCGATTAACTCCGTCAGCATGAAAATTGTGTGATCGAGATTCGATGAAGTCGACGAAGGCTGTTGCCTGGCCTTGACTGGCAAAGGTTCTACCAGTGAGAAACTTATGGAAGTGCTTGAAAATGTGGTAATTTGTTAATGAGAGGTCTGACGCTTAATTTGTTCAACATTTGGACGGTGATTTGTGGAACGTGCAGACGGGCGTTGTCGTGAAGCATAATCAAACTTTTTTTGTTCACCAGTACTGACTGCTACTGACGCAATTTTCGATAAATTTCGTCGATTTCCTCACAATAGAACTTTGTTGTGATGTTGACCTGTAGTACGAGGGCATTTCCGAAGACTGGCTGCAAATCTAATTTTTTCGAAGAACAATTCGTTCAGGCCAGTATCAAGACACCTACACTGATATTAGCCCGAACGAATTGTTCTTTAAGATCATTTGATTTACAGCCAGTCTTCAAGGTTGTCCCCTACTATATGCGAATATTTTTTTCTAATACAAAAAATTAGTCGATTCGGATATGCGGTTGGTTAGAACCCCGTTTGCGGGCAGATGGGACGATGACAAATATGTTGTTTGTCGTTCGCTTTAGCCTTGTTCGAGGAATGACACTCTGAAATAGATTCAATTTCAATTATGGGAAATCATCGACTTCATGTTGAAGATGGATACTACCTTGCATGACGAGAGGCCAAATAGCCCGAAACTGGTCTGCAAGTGTGCCCATTCCAATAATTGATTCTGGCAGTTATATCGCCAAAAGCATATGCAGGAACTATTTCTCTGAAAAATCCTGTATAGACACCTGTCGGATATAATCCAACGCCCTTCGTGGTATTAGCCAGGGGAGTAGTGTTTTGTTTTTGATAGGTGTCAGTCCATTAACTAACAGTGTAGGTGTGTTGAGACTGGCCTGAACGAATTGTTCTTTCAGATAATAGTTCGGTCAATTTAGACATTCGAAGCTACCTAAATTCCCGCTGAGCTGAAAATCAGTAAGATTATTTGAAATATGATTATAAAAAAAATTTGAAAGTTCCCCATCTTTCCCCTGCATGGAATAAATTTTATTCAAGGTGAAAGGTCAAAAAAATTTGTTTCTTGCGATTTTCAGCAAAACGGTAAGTTTTATCATAAAAATATTATGGACAGAAATTGTAGATCATGAAATTATCCACAAAAAAAAAGATATCAATATTTTTTTTCCTACGAGCCACCGTTTTTGCGATATAACGATTCAAAAAGTTGTAAAAGTTATAATCGTCATAATATGCACGCGTTTTTTTAACGTGGTTTCCCCAGTAGGCCTATTCCACGTGTCAGTTGTGATCCTGTTCAATTTGAAACTATTGCAAAATAATGGATATTAGCAAAGATTGAAAAGATAAAAGCGATTTAATTTAGAAAAAGTAGTCAAATTGACCTTATTAAGTGATGCGACCCCATGGTTGCCAACTGCGGTAAAATAATGACATTTGACATTTGCTAATGAATAAATACCATCAAGACCATCTTAGGTTTCTTCATAGCTGATTCTTCATTCTGGAGCCCCAGAGGACGACTAGAAATCTCTTTTCGGCCATATTCTGGAAATCAGTTTCTCATTTACCAAAAATGAAAATGCAGAAGGAACTCAGAAAGATAGGTTATTTATTTATGAGCAATTGTCAACTGTCATTATTTTACCGCAGTTGGCAAACATGGAGTCGCATCACTTAATAAGGTCACTTTAATTTTCCAAGTCGTAACTTTCAAATTATTCTTCTTGTTCGTCTTGTTCTTCTTCTTCTTCATTTTCATCCTGGGTACATGTAAACTGCGTTAATAGCGATGTATCGCATGTCGTCTCGTTGGAATCAAACGGATCCTTCACTGTTGGTGATTCAATATTAGACCACGACCGGCCTTGACAATGTGTACATGCCAGAGAACAAAACAGTCCGGCTTTTTTGCAACCACATTTAGCACTGGACCCCTTTTTGCAGTTGCAAAAAAGTAAAGTTTGGACTGGTTCTAATGAATTGTTGACCAACTTCCAACCCCAGTTTGTAGGGTCTAGCTGATACCAAGCCACACTTGAACTTGGTAATATATCCGAGAAACATGTTGATGCGCAGCAACTGAGGTTGGAGGAAGACAAGGTAATTGAACTTGTTTTTTACTTTTGATATTCTTAACGAAACATGCCCACATTATATGACGATTACAACTTGTACAACTATTTGAATCGTTATATCTCAAAAACGGTGGCTACTACTACAAGTGATTCTGTCATTCCAGTATCCACTGACGTGAAAGCATGCATCATTCGATCATATTTCAAACAATGTCACTGATTTTTAGCTTGGCGTGAATTTAGGTACCTTTACTCTTATTTTTTGGTCTAATTTGACTGGACAATAATCTGCTATATTGGTTTGGCTCGGTTGCAGAAAGTTATAATGAATCACACTAGTCGCTGACCAACATACAGTAGCCATGGTCTTTTCTATTGGGTTTTCGCCTTTGGGAAGTGCCTGGATGGTTCATCGGTTACCAACCACTATCCTGAACATCTCCTGTTATCGTGGAGGATCCACTTTTCTTCACACATGACGATTAGATCAAAAAAAGGATTGTTTTGGTTGTGCAAAAGTAAAGAAGAACGGACCTCGAAATGTGACAATTTCTGTTGATCGTTCAAATCGTGCGGCACCCACTTTTCGAGCTTTTTCAACTTTCCAATACATTTTAAACCATCAAAAACCGCATGGGAGCTGGGTCAGTCTCCACCAGAGTCCTTAAATCGTCGCGCGGCAGCGCTTTGGTTCTTATTCAATTCGTAGAGGAAACAATTAAAATATGGAATAGTTATCAACGTTACAAGGCCGATGTGTAGCAAATAACGGATGAGGTTGAATATTGTAATACGAGGCGCAGCCGAGGATTATAATAACCGTGTACACTTGCTTTGAAAGTTTATGACAACATTGATATTTGAAGGTTAGGTTTTTAAATCGTACACCATATTAGAGTATAACCTACAGATTTGAAAAATTATTTTTGTTCTTGAGTCTGATGGATACACACCAAAAAAAACAAAAATATTGTCTGAAGATGAAGTAACTAAGTAATTTTTTTGTTGGAGACAGATGTTCATATATGGTTGCTCTTAACGTCCGCCGGCCGTTACGGACGGAGGCTGTTTACATTAACTTTTCAAATGTCATCTGAATACCGGTAAATTAAAATAACAATATGGGATTTTTCTAAAAAAAAATTAACATCATCAATATAGTACAAAATTCTCTATCGAACAGTATATATTACGACACAGTAGAATAAATATTTGTTGAGATATGGAACTACAAAAACGCATGACATCAAAACGGACCAAACTTATATTAAAAAAAATATTCCATTTCAGATACACCCAAGGCATGAGTGATCTGTTATCCCCTGTGCTGTATGAGCTCCAAGACGAAGTAGCAGCCTTCTGGTGCTTTGTAGGCCTGATGCAAAGGGCTGTATTCGTAGCCACCCCTACAGATAGGGACATGGACAGGTGTCTGCGTTACTTGCGTGAGTTGATCAGACTGATGGTCCCCAAGTTTCACGAGCACTTGAAGAAACACAAAGATGCCACCGAGCTTCTTTTTTGCCACAGGTGGATTCTATTGTGAGTATTTTCGCCTCTGGAAACACAGAGGATAATTTGATTCTTGTAGGTGCTTCAAGAGAGAGTTTACCGAGGCTGTAGCCTTGAGGATGTGGGAGGCTTGCTGGGCGAATTATTTAACAGATTATTTCCATTTGTTCCTTTGTTTAGCCATAATTTCTGTTTATGCCGATGACGTGATTGCTCAAGATCTTCGGTCTGATGAAATGTTGCTACATTTCAGTTCCCTAGGTGAGTTTTTTCCATTTCTGATATTATTTAGTGGAATATCAGTTCAAGTATGATCTTGGTATGATCATAGGTTATTCAAAATAGAAGGATATTAGTTATAATAATTATTATTATTCACCATGAAAGTACAATTGAAAAAAACAAGAAGAGGAAAAGAAAACAACTTTCAGTATAAAGTTGAATAGCAATAATTGACTAGTAACAAAGAAGTCGAGTTGACAGTGATACTGTCATGACAAGATCAGAAAATATATGCAAACGCTGTAGAAAATTTCTTTTTGTAATGCCAAGGTCGGGAACGGACGAAAGACTAGACAGTTAAATAGATCTTTAGTATTTTTTGAAGTGTTTTATTGTATATGATCTAAATTCACGGGGTAGTTAATTGTAATGTTTAGGTGCATTTTACGAGAAGCAGCTGGTGAAGATTTGAGTTTGAGGATGACTAAAACTGAACTGTTCTTTATGGTAAAACTACTTATTGTTGAGAATGTTTTAAGCCTCTTCAGTGAGTGATCAGTTTGACAAGGTATCAAAACTTTGTGTGCTGAATAGATCTTCATTGTTTAAAATGGTGAGTATACCGTAAAAGGGTGAGTGGCGGGGGAACCACTGTCTTCCTCTTACGGGTGTTTGACAGGCCCCCGGTGCAGATCACACAGCACTCACCCAAAAAAGTTATCGGTCAACCACCCATTCCCGCAGCTGCGGGCAACAGGCGTTGGCCGGTCTCAAGCTAGATGTGTGGGAGAGGTGTCTCGCAAGAGCCCTCGGCAGTTACTCATCCAACGCTGGAAAGGTAGCTTTCCTAACATGAGTGCCCCTCCCGGGTAACGTAAGGGTATACGGTGCAGACCACACGGCGTACACCCAAAAGTTGTTGGCGAACCGCCCTACCCCGCACCTACACGGGTAATGGGCGCAACGTCTTCGACATAAGATGTGTCGTAGAGGACACTCGAAAGAGTCTTCGACGGTTACTCATCAAACGTTGGAGAAGGAACTTTCCTAACATGAGTTCTAGGGGGAAAGTGAGAGGCTGCTCGCGGCTGAGGCTAGCGAGCCTCATCTCCAATTGGCGTTGGCCTCTTAGGGGCAGCGGCTCCACTAGCGGGTAAAGGGATAGGGTTGCGGTAATCCATTCATGGGTGCATTGCAGCCCCTTACTGAGGCACTGGACGGCTTATGCTGTTCCATGATCCTCACCTGCTTCTGTACGGATCCAAGCGTTCGAGGTGTCGGGGCTCGCGGTCCCTCCAACGGACACTAGTATCCGAGTCTAGTCTTGGAGGGCACCAAGGCAGACGTTCGAGGTGTCGGACCCCGGATGGACGGAGCTACTAGTATTCAAGCTTAGGATCCCGACCTGTCACTTCCGGGACTATAGCCCCAACTGATTTGGCAAGGTTGGCGGGGGCAGGTGTGCGACGCGAGCACTCTCTGGCGAAAGTCGAGCTTAGTTAACTTGTACGAACGTTCGGTCGAACGCTGCCGAAGGTCCTGTCTCTTGGTTAGCCACACTAAGTATATGTAAGGAGGCAACTCCGGGTTCGGAGTAGCGGGAGGAAGCCCTGCGAAATCCTGTTGGTATGGTCGAGGGGGGTACCCGCAAGGATTTCCCAAAAATCCACCCCACCATGCCCGATCGCATCCAACGCCAGGGTGCGTGGTATACCAAAAGACTAGAATTTGTATGCAAAATACTCTTCCAAACTGCAGAAGCACTTTCCCAAATCAAGGTTCTTTACTGATTTTCTAAATTTTTCAAGTTCATCAATTGATATAACATGTTATGGTTAATGATTATTTTTTTGTCTACTTCTATAGATTTGAGACTGCCTGGTCAAAGATGATGTGAGCAGTGGAAGGGCAAGTGTTTTATCGCTACGCGTAGACCTTTCTGTATGGCTTTCAAACTTCTCTTAACCGGTTTCTAATTGTTGCTACAAAATACATATTTTGAGCCTCACGTTGGGCGCCATATAGAGTCATAAAAATTACCAGTTTTATCAGAATCATTATCATGTCTTGCTCTTATACTTACCGATCTGTTTTTTTCAGCTATGTACATGGATGGTCAACTAATTGCTAGGAAGGCAAGAGGACTGCTGCATCAGTACAGACAAATGCGAGAAATACCTTGCACTCTATCCGGTTTATGTACCAGATGCGGTCCTGGCATCTGGGACAGCTCACACAGTCCTCGAATCTACTGCGTAGGTCATGAAAAAGAAGGGTACAGCAACGTTTGTGCGTACTGAACGAACTGTTGAAT